TAAACCTTTTTCCGCATAAACTTATTGTTTATTTTTTTTTGTTCCCAACAGAAGATGCCAAGGAGTTTTCTCATGCATTTGTCCTCAAACGCTTGGATCCTTCTCTCTGGATCTGCCAACAGTGTCCATGTTTCACATACATATAACTAGAATCTAATATAATAATACTTCAACGGTACCTTGCATGATGGCATTGCACAGGCTGTTGTGCCTTGTAATATGTTCAAACCACGCCATTCTTCTTCGTTTGATAGTGGCGAGAAGAGGTCTCTGGTGGCGCACAAAACTTTAAACCCTTTTCCGCACTAAAATCATTGACTTTAAATTCCCAATAGAATATACCAAGGAGTTGTCTCATGCATTTGTTCTCAAGCGCTTGAATCCTTCTCTCTGTATCTGCAAAGAGCGTGCACATTTCATATCTATAGAATTAGATTCTAATATAATAATACTTAAACAATGCCTAGCATGATGGTCTTTCACAAACTGTCGTGCCTTTTAATGTGTTCAAACCACGCCATTTTCCCTATTTGACAGTGAAGAGAAGAGCAATGCTCACTTATTCGTAAATAAAAAAAATTGTTTGATTCTCCCTGAATAAAGAAATGATATTAAAGAAATAAATATTAAAGTTTAATACAGATTTCATTTATTAGATTGTATGACATTTATATTGTTACATAATTGTCAATTTTCTAACGATATTGAATTTGGTAAAATGCGAACGAATATTGTATTCTGAAATGTGTGATCACTGCGTAGGTCTAAGTGAATGAACAAATAAGAGATTAAAACGTTATGAGATCTAGCGAGATTCTTATCCTGGGATATATTCGGAGAATACTATACAGATTATGTGACTTGGAGGCTGGATTTTATCTGATCTGTGCCAACGATATCACCAGTTCCAAGAAACGATTTCATTAAATCCATATCAAATTTAACAAGAAACAAGAATTTCGATTGACAGACCAACCGTTCGTTTAGGACCTCTACTAAGCCATTTCCTGATCAAATCTGTGATAAAATCTTTATCGCATAAAACTCTAGCTTAAGATATTAAGTTCTGAATTTAACCATAACCAAAAAAAAAAAGAAAGAAAGAATATAAGCGCATTTAGCATTTCGTCTGAGTTGCTATTTTGAGAGGCAGAATATTTATCTAGCGATAGTGTGGGGGATAACATCTCCGGATGAGGACTCAGGAATCAGAGTTCGAATTCCAGTTACGCACAAGTACCCTTGGGAAAGGTATCAATACATATCTCCTCCCAGCTATGGGTAAATAACAGGACAGATAGGACCCTAGAGCCTTGTTTGGCAAAAAGTCTAGAAGAATGATAAATTCAAACCAACCTGGAGAGAGAGTTTTGCTCCATCATTGCTACCCACGGCTATAGTACATGTGGTGATCCGTTTACCCTTGAGAAGGGTTGCTACTTGTCTTTTCGTCCGGTATCAGAAGGTGGTAATGTCGTTGGACCATAATAAATAATACAAAAATTTGGTTGGAAAATTAAGGGTCAATTTATATTGACGCACGTGTGTGTACTAAACTCGGAGATAAGAGAATGATCGACCTCACGTCAACATGACATTGAGAGAGGGTAACTGAATTTCCTTTCCTTAGGACGACTGCAAAAACACGCCCGAATCCAATGATTGGAAAGTATCAAGAGAAAGACGATCTCCTTTCCGGAAGTGGGGTCACAAATTTTGCACGTGACCGGAAACCATTTTTTTTTTTTTTTGGTTTCCATTTGCATTATGGGAAAATTAAATTAATTATTTTTTTATTATTTTCTATTTTTTTTATTATTTAATTTTCATTCTCCTACAATCCTAATGGATTGATATCTATAACAATTCATTTAAGGGGTTTTTAATTTACTTCTGTCGCATATCCTCAAACCTTGTAGTAATGGTTAACAAGCCAGTGAATCAAACTAACGCGACGATAGGGACTTCTATCATAATCGAAACGTGTATCTTGATATCAGCTCTTGTACCTTAACATAAATTAACTAAATCAATGTCCATGTCTGACGCTTATGACCTTGTGCTGCACATGATTGTACCTACTCTCATATCACGATACGTCTAAAAAAGTATTACTATTACTTTTATATGTCGTGTTCATTCAAGGTTTCAGCGATCATGGCTCTCCACAACTTCCTATCCTTTGTACCTCTAAGCAATCTTTGTCCCCTTACCATCCTCCCTACTCTTGATATCAGCTCTTGTACCTTAACATAGACCAACGTTTAGCAAATACGAAATAAAATCTCCATGTCTGACGCTTATGACCTTGTGCCGCACATGATTGTATCTACTCTCACGATAGTTAGCAAGTTGGTCTAAAAAATTATTACTTTTTTTAGACGTATCGTGATATGAGAGTAGGTACAATCATGTGCGGCACAAGGTCATAAGCGTCAGACATGGACATTGATTTAGTTAATTTATGTTAAGGTACAAGTGCTGATATCAAGACACACGTGTCGATTATGATAGAAGTCGCTATTATTACTCTTACTTTTATATATCGTGTTCATTCAGGATGTAAGCAATAGTGGCTCTCCACAACTTCCTATTCTTTGTACTTCTAAGCAATCTTTGTCTCCTTACCATACTCCCAACTCCCTGTTTTCTTATACATTTCCAAAAACCCTTTAGGGAGATTACTCATTGTTTCTCTCTGCTCTTCTTCTTTTCAATCCTGTGAGTGTTAAATTCTCCAAGCCTTCGTGTGCCAGAGAACTTCAACTGTCTCCTTCTGATTCTAAGTACAAATGTATTTTTTGGTCTTCATTCTCCTTAAAACTTCACCGTTGTACACATGGTCTGTATACGGTATTCTCAGCATCCTTCTGTTGAACCATAGCTCTGTTGATTTTAAGTTTCATCTTCATATATATCTGTCCAACATTCATTGCCATTTCATAAAATTCAATAAAAAATTAAAGTTGATTGTTCGATGGATTTGATGGATTTTGCATTTACTCATATCGGATTTCATTTGCAGCACGATGAAGATTGATCTTGAGAAGTCTTCCAGTATTTCACCACTGTCATATATTTTTTTTATAATTTCATTGATCTTATTAAATCTCGAAATCGCCAAATACTGCCTAAAAACCTCTATTACAATCACGCGTACTCCTGCTAATTCATAGTGGCCGATTCTGACCTAACATTAATTATACTATTAAGTGTACTTCAGTGCAATTATGACAATGAATGCTGCACAGATGAAGAAGAGACTTGAAACAATAGAAACAAAGGAAAGAGTACTGAACTGTTACGTAATATCAGTCCTCCTATATGGAAGTGAATGCTGGACAATCTCCTCACAGATGAAGAAGAGACTTGAAACAATAGAAACAAAGGAAAGAGTACTGAACTGTTACGTAATATCAGTCCTCCTATATGGCAGTGAATGCTGGACAATCTCCTCACAAGATGAAGAAGAGACTTGAAACAACAGAAACAAAGAAAAATATACTGAACACTCACGTAATATCAATCTTCCTATGTGGCAGTGAATACTGGTAATGTCATCACAGATGAAGAAAAATGTTATTCTACAGAAGGATATTGAGAATGCGATGGACCGAACTTTTGAGCAACGAAAAACTTTTAGAGAAAATGACGACAAAAATTACACTTAGCCTTAACATCACGAAGAGTCATTTGATATTTCTAGTGAAAATAATGTAGAAAGAATATATTACATAATTTAACACGCTAGAAGAATCAGTAAAAAGTCAAACTTTACTCAAAGCAACAGGACAGGTAATTGTGGAGTGCCTTGATCGCCAACGTCCTGAAAGGATGTAGCACAAAGAAGAGGAATCACGTGTAATATAAGATATATTATTTGCATTTCGACAATTTTCTTCAATGTGCTTGGTCCCCTCAGAAGGTGGGCGATCAAGGTGTTCCACAGCTTCCTATCTGTTATGGGACCTTACCCATAATAACATAATGGACTATTCCATACGTAATAAATACTGCGCCTCAAGAGGAAGCAGGGAGTTCAGTCCGAAGTCGGGCGACCGGCTGACCGGCTGATCGGTTGAACTCTTTGCCTTCGGGCGGGGAGGAACCCGAACGAGGCTACGCCGAAGGGCGGAGTCTCTTTCGGGGAGGTAAACCGACCCTGAACCCGTTTAGACGGGTTCAAGTGTATATTTTTGGCCGAGCCCACGGGCTCGGAGATCCCACGAGCTCGGAGATCCCACGTTAAACCGTCCTTGTGCCACATGATGCCCTCGTGGGGGAGGGGACTAGATACTGTTCCGTCTGAAGTCTGAGTTCCGTCTGAAGTCTGGAGTGAAGTCTGAAGTCTGGAGTGAAGTCCGTCAGGATTCAGTCAGTCAGTCAGAGCGAGCGAGTCAGTCAGTCGAGTCAGAGGCAGTCCGAAACGGAGTCGCGTTCAGACAATTACTACTAAACCTGATTGTTCGTACTAACACTTTCTACTTCTCTGTATATATTCCTGTTTGTAATATATCTATGCTATCTGTGTTATCCCATATCCGTATTCGAGTTCTTCTTTATTGGTTCTACCTTGGACTATCATCGTGGTACAAGGAACTGGACCATAACACTATCCTTCGTTGTTCTTACCACTAATAGACTTTTTGCTGTTCCGCCCAGTCGCTTTGCTGTTATCTATCTATAAAAAAGAGTATAGCCGCAGTTTGTCACTGTGGATGTGAGGATGGTGTAAACGATAACTGATCGGAATAGCCGTGTTCGTTGTATTCACTTACGCACAAATGCCCTTGGAAAAGGCATGAATTCCTTTCCGCTCATCAGCTTTGACGATATTAATGCAATATTCACCAGCAAAAAATGAATTATTCTTGCAATCGACAACTTATTCTCGAACTCTAAAGAGCATGCAATGCAAATAAAAAAAGAAATAATTTTAAAAATTCTTTCCTCATGATGTGTCCCCAGAAATTTCAAATATCTCTTTCTTATTTTTAGGCTTACGACCATAATACAACGAAACACCGGATCCCGTACGATCCCCGAAGTTAAGCAACGTCGAGCCTGGTCAGTACCTAGATGGGTTAAGGCTTGGGAATACCAGGAGATGTAAGCCTGGATGTGCCGGGGGTGTAGTGGAATCGTTAATCGTAGAGCTGAGTTCGAATTCTGTTTGGGTTCGTCGTAGTCACTTACGGCTCAAATACCCTTGGGAAAGATATGAATTCACCTCATCTCTCCCATCTATGGGTTAATTATTTTTGTTATGAGCAGCAGATAGCCTCTCCTCTAACAGTTCACCCACTCTACTTTTGTCAAAAACGGGAAACATAGGCCAAAAAGCCAATTTAAAATTTGTTTACACTTTTTTTTTTTTAATTTCACAAAGTTTTGTGTTACTTTAAACTCAATATGAATTAAAAACTTTTTTTAAATCAGTAATTTTTTCATTTATTTTAAAATTTGACATTTAACTCTTCAATCCTCATCCGGACACAAATCCCAATGCTGGATGTTAAAGCACCAGATGAAGGGACATTTTCAATCCCGGGTTAATCCTGACTCCAAAAAGGTATAATTCGTCTATACAGAGCAAGTATGAGAAGAGGTTTTAGATACACCAGGAGAGAGACAGAATTTACCGTTTGTTTAATCGGATAGATGATTTCTTGGCTAAAAATCAAGATTCGATAAGTATATAAAAATTAATGTGTTCTCTAATATTCAAGAATTGACCTCGGCATAATTGAATTATTTCTTATCTAATAATCAACATTCATTATTGATATAATGGAATAACCAGTCACCCTCAAGAATGATTACACGATAGGTAGTAAGTACCTATAAAGTCAACTGTCTACGAGAGACTTGGGAACAGAGAGGAAGTGGAGGCACCCTGGCGTGGTGTAATGGTTAGCAAGCTTGTCTCGCTAAAACAGTTACGACTGAGTAGTGAGTTGGATTCTTACTGGGTGCCTCATACTTTCGGCCTTGTGCCTCATCTAAGCTACGCTTAGGAAATCATTTAACAGTCGCACAGATTATCCAACTCTTTGCATCGGCAGAGAGGAACTCGGACGAAGCTTTGTCGCAGGGCAAAGTTTCGTCCGGGGAGGTAGACAGTCCCTGAACCCGTTTATACGGGTTCAAAGGAAATATTTTTGACCGAGTCTACAGGCTCGGAGAAACCCACGTTAAACTAGGCCTTGTGCCACATACATTCCTTGTGGGGGGGGGACTGTTAAATATAACAAAGAGGAAGTATAAGCGAGACGATGCAAGCACGTTCGACCTTCCAATTAGTGGCACTCACTACTAAATTGACCTGTGTGCATAACTGTACCGTATTTCATATTGTACTTGTTGTGTACAATAAACCTTTCTTCTAGTATCTACCTGGTGTTATGTGTTTATTCCCTTAGCAAGGAATATAACAAATATATATATATATTTAAAGACGTTTGTTAAGCTTCTTAATTGGTTGTATTAGCATTAATCCTGCCATTTTTGTTGTTTCGTCTTCAAAGATCATTTCAGTGCTTGTTTATACCCTTCTTAGGTCAGTACAAACCCTTTTGAATTTGTGTCGCTGGCCGGACTACATACGGAACTGACACTCAAAAACAACGTTAAGTCCAAACTGAAGATTTTTGCACTGACTGGTTCCGTTCGACTCGACCTCTTCACACATAAAGATATTCTTTTAATTCAGATTTGAACTCATTCGCTACCAATTTTCCGGCCACATTGGTTCCAGAACCGTACCGGACCAGCAGAAGTAATGTAATAATTATTCAATTATACACATTGTATCTAGTAAATATGCATGTAACTTGAATGTTTTTAATCATTTCAACCCTAAGACACAACGGATCAATGAGAAGAAAAGACAATAAAGAACATTGCTTATAAAGATGGAAGATGGCGATTGAAATCTTTTAAGATTGTTGGCGGAAGGGAAGCAAGAAAACGGAAAAGAGTTCCACAAGTGAGAAGTTTGAGAAAAGGAATTTTTAGAATAGAATTTAGATAAAATAGCAGTGAGAAGAGCTTCCAATATTGAGAATATGCAAAGACTTAGGGACTCTCAAACTCCTGAACAAGCTGAAGGCCCAATCAAAAGCCCTCTACAGGAGCTAGGTTAAATAGGACGGTTTTTAAGCGAGTAAATTAATCACTGTTCGACATATACACGGGACTTATGAAAAATGAATTCTCTGTTAGCAAAATCATCCGACATATTCTTCCTCTAAGTGTCTCTTAAGGACGTTGGCGATCGTGGCTCTCCACAACTTCTTGTACTTTGTAACCCTAAGTAAGGTTTTCTTTTTTGTTGTTTTTCCTAATCCCGGTTGTGTCAAACATTTGCATAAGCTCGTTAAGTAAGTTATTTGATGCCTACCTCTTGCTTTAAATATATCCTGTGAGTGTCCAATTTTCCAGGCCTTCTGTCTTCATTATGTGAAATTTCAAGTGTCTCTTCCTGAATCTAAGTATAATTGTCTTTCTGTTTCCATTACCCCTTGAATTTCGTCTTTGCTCACATGTTCAGTTTATGGCATTCTCAGTATCCTTCTGTAGGACCATATCTTTGTTGCCTCAAGTTCATTCTTCATCTGAGAGGAGATTATACAGCACTCAGTTTTCTTTGTTTCTAACGGAATTTTGCTGTTTCTTGATATTCTGCTTATCTTTTGAAAGGCATCTTGCCCCTTCGGATTTCGATGTCATATTTTCCGTCCTATTAAAACACTTCTTAGATATTTAAATATTTACAATGGCTTGGTTTTGGTGCCTCCAGTTTGTAGTTCGCTTCTGTGGCGCTTTCTTTTGCTAGCAACTATAAATTCTGTCTTCTTACAATTGATGGTTAGTCCTTTCTTCTTGCTTTCCATTACTAACGTTCTGTAGCATTTCCTGCAGTTTCCTTTCTGTGTCTGCTATTAACACTGTGTCACCTGCCTGACCCATGTTGTGAAAAATGTGGTCGTCAATAATGAATCCTGGTAGGACTTCTAATTATCTCTGGATTACATCACTGTAAAGCCTGAATAAGTCCGGTAAGATGACACATCCTTGTCTTATGCCCCTTTCTATGTTCGTGTATTTATTGAATTCATTTTCTATCCGTATGCAGGTGATTCGGGATTATTCTAATATCTTAATCTATAAGTTATAATCATGTCATCTTTTTTGCATTTCTATTGCTTTTTCTGGTGTCTTTCTAATCATAAATATTGCCTTCCTTGTTCAAGTGTTAACAGAACCGCGCTTTTCTTGGTCTTATTTCTGGTTTAATTCTACGTTCATTCAACACTCGAAGTATATTGTAATTGAATAATTTCTTCGCCAATAATCAAGGTTCGATCTATCAGTCAGTTATGTACTATGCGTGATACACGTGTAGGCGATCATGTATCTTTCGATACATGACTGATGAGACAGATTTTTCCCCGCAGTAGGTTGCCATTTCTTTCTACGGTAGACCAGTTGCCATTCAAGGCTATAGAACCCGGTCTGTCCTGCGATTTACCCATAGCTGGGGGGGAGAAGAAAATTCATACCTTTCCCAGGGGTATTAGCATGTAAGTGAATTTCATTCAGTTATGTGCCATTCGTGATACATGCTTAGACGATCATGTATCTTTTGTTACATGACTGACGAGGCAGATTTTTTCCTCGATAGGTTGCCATTTCTTTCTGCGGTAGACCAGTTGCCATTGAAAGCTATAGAACCCGGTTTGTCCTGCTATTTACCCATAGTTGATGGGAGAAGAAGAGGATTCATACCTTTCCCAAGGGTATTAGTACGTAAGTGAATGTAATGAATTCGACTGCAATTCGAACTCGGCTCTCCGATTTCTCAATCCGAGCCGCTATCCATTACTCCTTTTTCCATCAATAGGTTGCCATTTCTTTCTGCGGTAGGCCAGTTGCCATCCAAAGCTATAGAACCCGGTCTATCCTGATATTTGCTCATAGCTGGAGTGGGTGGGGAGGATTCATACCTTTCGCAAGGGTATTAGCACTTAAGTGAATATAAAGGATTCGACTGGAATTCGAACTCGGCTCTCTCATTTTTCGGTTCCATCTATACATAAGACATATGTTGAACACTGGAGAAAGAAATTTAGTAGATTTAAATCGTATCACTAAATTCTCTATTCTATGGCAAACGAGGGTCACATAGACATCACCTCAATTTTGCACCGAAATAGACTCACACGAACTTCAAATTCATACTTCCACATTGGCATTGATTAATTAGCATTTTTAACCATTCAGTGACGTTACTTGCTTAGTCCTGGTTATGACGACAAACTACATCCAGGCAGCAAGACCTCTGATCAGGAAATTGGAGGTTTTGAAGGGCATAGAACCTCCTCTTAATTGATGTTGTTCCCAGCTGTACCCTGACTTGGTGTGGTAACACCTGTTAGGGTCCCAGCTATGGGCAAATAGTGAACCCCCAAACAAAAACAAAATACTTTGCACTATGAAAGTATAAAAATACATTTTTATAGTAAAAATACCAGCAATACATTTTTATTTTTTAAAAATACTTATTTATAGTAAAATTACCAATACATCAATCAAGGTGAAATAATTCATCCATATAACATCAAACAATGTCTTAAAGAAACGAAACTGTATTCCAAAGTAGAACTTCAAGAAAACTACAACATAAAGCACACATATCACTGTCTTGAGTAAGTATGCCCACACAAACATGTACACTACATTTCAAAAGTTTGAAGCTACCCCCAGAATTAACAAGGGATGAAAGTTTCCATTCAAAAAATGAAAAAGACATCTTAGAATCATTCAAAAAAGAACTGAATCAATTGTCAAACTTATACTTTGAGAAAATTATGCAAGGAATGCCAAAAATTTGTGCTACAGTAATCCAGACTAAAGGAGGATATTTTGAGAAGAGCAAATTTTAATCATGAAATGCTTTTTCTTTTTGTCATAATGAAATATTTAATAAAAAAAAATCATGTCTCATTTTTTTTTAACTCTGTATAATAATTTTCTCTTATTCAAAATAAAAAAAAATATTCTGAGGGCCAATTTTAAAAAAATTACCAGTACTATAGAGAACTGTATGTAT